TGAACCTTTGATTACTTAACATCTTTTTTTGATTAACCTCCTACTTCTTTAATTGACAAGAATCAAATTATCATTGTTGTTAAAGTTACTAAATGATTCTGTTTTATTCTAATTGAATCTAAGAAAAAAACCACGCATTCTAGGATCTGAAGTAAACTTCCTGGCTCAAAATCCTGCATATGTCACTATATATAAGTATAGCCACTACAAGAAAGTAGAGATACAGCGACATTTATTTAGTGAAAAAAAGTTTTTTTCACGTTTATTAAAAATTGTCACAAAAATAACGACATTTGATACAAATGTCATAGAAACAACCACATTTTGTTGCAAATGTTGTAAAAGCAACAACATTTAGTGGCAAATGTCATAGTGTTAGTCGCTAATTACTGACATTTACACCTAATATTGTAAATCTAAATCATATTAAAACAAGGCTAGATAACAAGCAATGCAGGTAGCCAGGTACATTGAAACAATCAAGTATACATTTTTCTCAAATGAGCAGATTAGTTACTGTTAATTGACCTCAGAAACTATTAGGAACATGGTTTTCCAAGAGCTGAAGCAGCTGAATCGATATGAAGAAGTAAACACGCGTAGAGTTTTTGCTTCAATCTGTCAACTGTCTCAGCAACATCTTTATTCAAAGTTGATTTACTCTGTAACTTGTCCAACCAGTCATTGGCATGTTTAAGTTGTGACAACGCGAGAGCAATTTGGTTGTTTGTATCCATTTGTTGTACTACACGTGTTTTCTTTTTGTGTTCTTGCTCACTCAGTTGGAAGCCAACATCCAGTGCTTCGTCCATGAATTTAAGAAACCAGGATTGCATTTCATTAAACAGAACATCTCTTAACTCCTTAATGCCTTTGGAACCGTCTCCTTTTGCCCATTCTACCTTTTCAGACACAGAAACTTCAATCAACGACTTGGGGGTATTTTTAGTATCGTTCAAGGAACGTGTCTTCTTGCTTGATTTCTCCTTGTCTTGTAAAGATAATTTTGAAGCAAAGTTATCTAGGATTTGTTCATTTGTCTTGTTAGTATTATTCGGTTGATCCATGAGTTGGTTGAGTGTGAAAAATTTGGACAAATTGAGATGAGGGCTCTCTGGTGATGCAGATGAGCATAGTTCAGCAAACATGCTGAAAAGAAAAAAAAGTGAAGACATGTAACTTGATGTGAAAACAACCCTTTGATATGCACATGACATGTTACGACTGAGTTAACGTTGTGCTTACCTGAAGCAATGAAGAAGATTGGTTGCTGTCAATGCTTCTTCTTGAGCTTCTGCTGCTATTAAAGAAGCTAACTTTTTCCTTCTAAGGATCCCCTTATTATAATGACGAAAAAAACAACAACAAAACATAAGTACATTTGGATCATGTTGATTCTCTAATGAGTCATCGACGTCTTCTTTAAAATCATACAAAGACTCTTTTTTTTTTCATTTGATGCATTATTATGAAAAACAATGGAATGAATTGTTAAAGGAGAAACGGGAAGAAACAAGTATACCTTCCCTGGCTTTGCGAGGTTGGCTGGTAGAGAGGACCAAGGTATGAGTGTTTCGGAAAATGGACCGTTCTCTTTAATGTTTTCTTGTTTGCTGCTGGTGCGTTTTAGAGTTGAAAACCTTGGAGTTGTCGAAAGCTCCCTGCTATTAAGCACATTGACATCTGAGTTTGGAGAAAATGCATCAGAACGACTACGAGAAGGAGTTGTAGGCTGTGTCTGAAATTCACAAGCAGAAAAACTCATCAGCAAACTTGTTCTATAGAAGAAAGCATATAATACAAGTTTTTTTTGTCTTACCTTCGATGTAAGTTTGTCCTTCAAAAAAGAAATAATGGTCAAAAACATACTTGAAGTATCACGTTTTTGTGAGTTTCCTACCTGAACTATCATGTGTTCACTTTACCTATTTATCAAATATGCTTCAACTATTAGTTGTTCCCTTTTCCTCCCTGTATGATGGTGATATTTCAGGTAGGAAAAGGGAACAACAGATAGTTGAGATGTGTTTTGATAAATACTAGCTCGGAATAGTTCAGGTAGGAAACATGAACAGATGATGGTTTAGGTAGGAAACTCGCAAAAATGTGATACTCCAGGTGTGTTTTTGACTATTAACTCTTCAAGAAATAGTCAAGCAATAGCAAAATTTCAGTTCTGATGCACAGGCTGTAAGGAGTTGGTTTGATAAGTGACTACAAACATTAAACTTTCAACTAATAGAACAGTTATCTTTTAGTCCTGGAATACAAGTTTCGCAAATTTAAGCAAAATTTTATGTCAGAATGTTCGATTCCTTATCTTACAAGAATGACTTAAAATGGAAGCTCTTATATTTACAAGTTAAATGTGGTTCTGATGAATAATCTGTGATGCAGGATCATCATACCTGACTTTTAACCTCTGGTTGTTTCCCTTTCAAAGGTACAACCTTGTGATCTGCTCCGTTACTCTCATTTTCAACGCCTTTTGCACCAGTACCTTGATCATTTCCACCAATCTTTACGTTCTGGTTTGACACACCTTGCATATACCTGGATGCAACAACCGCCTTTTCCTCTTTGATAATAAATTTCTTCTTCTTCTCGTTCTCGTTTTTCACTTCAGGCAATTCATTCAACTTTGGACCACTAGTACTATTTTCCTGATCAAGAACCTCAGATTGTTCCAACATTTGCATCAGATCCTTCGGATTGCCAACAAATGGATGTCGCCCTGGAATTGGCCTCACGCCAACTAAGACTGGGACCGGTGTTCCAGCCTCCATTTTGTCAACATAGAAGAACTGGCCAAGTTGCAATTTGTTGTTCAAAATGAACTCATTGTCTTCTTTTGACAGTGTAACATAAGTCGAATGAGAAGAATCGGAGACTTTAATAAAGAATCCATGGTTTGGCCACAGTTCTGAACCACTCAACGCGGGGACAATGCTGATTACTTGTAAAAGTACTGATCTATACTCCCCGCGGACTTTTACATTGGAGTTCATACTCTGTAGAAGCTTAATCAGTACTTCTGGTACGAGAGACGCCATCTTTCACCTAAAACATGTTGCAGATTCATGTTAACAAAATTGAATCAGCCAAATCCAAAAGGAAAATCAAGAAGGTCCTTTCAAGAAGAGATAATGGTCAAAAATACACATGAAGAATCACTTTTTTGCGAGTTCCCAACCTGAATTATTACCAACTATTTATCGATACATCCATCGAAATTAATGAGTCAGTTGTCACATGGACGAAATTTTATAGGCATATTAACTTGTCACGCCCCTTTTGGTGGTTGTATTCAAATATATAGTCTAGTCAGCTTCTAGATGTGTTTTGATAAATGGTTGATAATAGTTTAGATAGGAAACACAAACACCTGATAATTCAGATATGAAACTCGCAAAAAAGTGAAAAATTCAAATGTCGCATTCTTAAACTGTTTTTGAAAATCCCCTTGTTAGAATTCCTATAGTTTAGCATAGTTTGATATGTTGAGAGTAACTATAACATACCTGAACAATTGTGGAGCACCAAAAAACAGAAAGACAGAAGATGAAACAAAAACAACCAGAGGCTGAACAAATGTAAGAGAAATCCTTGTGCAACAAAAGCAACTTTTTGTGTAACTTTCTATTGCATTCAAGTTTGTGTCTAACTTATCTTGGCTTCTAAGCCAAGGCAACCAACTTTCTGGTCCTACTTGTTGCCAGCTTCATAAGGGGGGCCCCTTTATTGTTCTTCAAATGACCATTATGACCAATTTGTAAATATGAGTCTTGTGACATTCTTGTCATTTTTGGGGGGTAATATAGTCAATTTGATGATATGGTTGTTTTGCTGGTCAGCTTAGGTATTTTAAGGAAGAGGGGGTTGAGCTGTTGTTGAGAGAGTAAGAAGAAGTTTTTTATTTTGCAAGTCTATGTAGGACTATTGAAAATGACGTTATATATAATAATTAGTTATATGTAAACTTCTGTTTAGATGATTATTAAGTACTCTACTTAGCTTGATTCCTTAAAAACTTTTGTTTGCATAGTGTAATCATTGGGTGATTTTTTTTTTCTTTCAAGAAAACACTTCATTGCATTAGTTACAACACAGATTGGAAAGCCAGAATCCCAAGAAATCCTATTTATACATGAAATAAAAAATTCAGTTAGATTATGAGCCAACACATTCCATTGTAATTATTGAGTGATACCGTCCATTATTATTAATGTTAGGCAAAGATTGATATTAATAATTCTAAAACTATTTTTGTAATTCTCTGTAAACTGCTTTTTTTTTTTTTTTTTAAAAAAAAAAGAAGATATTGTGGCACTTTCTTTTGGAATTGGCCCACATAGTTGGTAAATATTTCCTTTTAGAAAACAGATTCTGGTATTATTGGTGAGTCAAGCTTGTAGGCAATCGGATGCACTTAAAAGTTTGTTTGGTATGACCGGAAAGTCTTTTTTTTTTAAAAAAGTGATTCTTTTACTTATTTTTTAATGTTTGATAAGTAAGCAGAAAATATTGTCTCAAAAATATTTACATATAATTTAAACAAACACCAAGGGGCTAGGGGTAGAGGTGTGGGGATGGAGTGGGGCTGTGGGTTTGAAATGCTACTAAAGCAAATTATTTTCCATACTTTCATTAGGGAAGTCATTTTCTTCATTGTTAAGGAATTTATTTTCCCAGAGAAAATATTTCTCAAAATTTTTGACGGAAGAATTAAGAAAACATTTTCTGGCACCATAACAAACACACGATCACATCTACTTTCCCCCCATTGAGAATTGACTAAAAGCAGAACATGAGAACTTTCAACTCTCTTCACAAGGTGGTCACAAATGATAAAATCCCAATGAAACCTCATGCTACAACCAGAAATTTGCAAATTTTGATCCATTGCTAAAATACTTGTATGAACAAACACATATTCAATGGACGTTATCGAGAAATTCCAGAGGTCTAGGCAATGCAAAAATGACATAGTGGTACTAGATAACAAGGTTATACATCGCGATATGCCTTATATTACAAGCTATAATACAGCAGATCAAATAGCTACCTTCTACTCGCGCAACATTTGATTTTTGAACACAATTCCATCTTCTGATATTTACCCAAAATCAATGTATATGGCAATGTAAGAAAAGAATGGCTCTAACTTACAAAATCACATAAACATCCTATTCAGGGACCGTCATCTTAAGATAATATACAAAACTATATTCCGAGAAAATTGCTAGAGATAGCTAAACTGGAAGCAAGGCCCTCTCAAGCTACATGATACACTAACTATACACCATACATAGATGATTGTAGAATAGCCTACCTCAGTCTCTATGTAAATTATTGTTTGAATATCGTGAAGTAACTTTCAATTGCTTAACCAGTGGGAACTTTTAATACTTTGAAAAGACCTATCTTGGTTTTGAATCACTTCCTTTGCTTCTGAATGTCGATAAGGAAAAAAATGATTTTGGAGCTGTACAAACAGTAAATAAACAAAAGTTAGCATGTAAAATACTTCGGATCACTGAAGCATAATAATTTTACAGACTTCAAATTTCTGCAATAGAGTAATACTGTGTTGACCAATTCAGCACAGAAAGTAACAAGCATTAGAATTCAGATGGAACAACAGTACTTGTTGTGCAAATGTTCAGCTGCAAGAGTGTAGAAGACTTGGGAGTTTCAACTGGACATCTAGCTTAAATTGGTCAGATCCTAAGATTAAGTGACAAAATACCAAGAAAAATGTATTATCCAAACATGAGCTTTCCTACAAACTTAACAAGTTTAAGGAATCTAGTAGCAAAAACCATAAAACAGATTATCTCACCCACTAAGCTAATCGGAAGCAAGGTTACAGATTATAGCTACTAAATGGAGTTCTACTCAGGTCAGACACCACCTGAAACCACTGTTCACCTCACATTAATGGCAGCCGGTCCTCATTTAGAAAGTAGGTTAATAACTTTTAAAAAATTAGAAAAAAAATTGCTAATATTTAAACCAAGTAGGTGGCAATCTACAAAAATGAGTACATCAAAGCAGAAATACAACATTAGCCTTGCCCTCCTACATCTGCTTTCCTTAAATCCATTGGATGTAAGCGTTCAAATCCTAGAAAACCATATCCATATACCCAATACACATTCATCATCACCACCACCATGAATACCACCCATAGATGATCCCTAACTCCTTATCTTATGGCTGCAATTCATTACTTTTAGGTCATTAAGGCCCGTACCGCTCATATACTATATACATAAAGCTAGGGCCCAATCCCTGATCGATTGCAGAGTATTAAACCTCAACAGATTTACAAGCAGCTTAAGCTACCTTCTATGTTTATAAAACAAAGTGCCAACAAGGCATTTTTAACTCTTTCAAAGGGTTGTATCTAGGTCCAGCTGAGGATGTAAGAATGCTGTATGTGTGACCAGCTAAGAGGAAGAGAGAGAGAGGGAGAGAGATTCTTTAGCTGTTGGTTTTGAAGATACTAGAGTAACAGTTGGTGATGTGAATATTTGGAGATGAAACGAGAGAGCATTGTGGATACTTAACCCAGAAACAGAGGAAAACAAGGATTAATCTTTAGCTGTTATTATTCAGTTTTTTTTTTTTTTTTTTGATAAAGATAACATGTGTATATTAAACATCATCTCAAAGCTGGTATCCAAAAATCTACATCATATCTCCCTCCACACATGTGTGTCCGGCATAAACAAAGGATAAAGAAAAGAAAAGAAGAAAAAAGAGAACTATCCCTAGATCCTCCTTTCACCTTTATAAGGACCCTAGAATGTCTACAATAGCCACAGGGTCATCTATATACTTTGAACTACACCAATAGCAAAAAGTGATAATGCAGTTCATTTTAATCTTGTGCAGAGGGCTGCTCTTGTTATCAAAATTTAACATACTAGATGGTATAAAAACTGCATACAAGTTTTTTGTAAGCTCTGTAGGAAGAATCTATAAAATAATCTCTAAAGTGCTATTCCATAGACTAAAGAAGGTGCCATACGAGAAGATGCTTATGTTCGTGAAAGGAAGACAAATCCATGGTGCAACTTTGGTGGCAAAGGAAGCAGGGAGAGACGAGGATCTTAAGCAAACTAGACCTTGAGAAGGCTTATGAACATGCAAACTGAAAATTCCTAGAATTGATAATGTTGAAGATGGAATTGGTGGATAGGTGGAGAAAGTGGATCAACTTCTCCATATCAACGGTCAGATTTTTGGTCCTAGTAAATGGTAGCCCGTGTAATTTCTTGGGTAGCTTGGGGGGCTTGACAAAAGGGGACTTCTGATCTCCATTACTATTCATCCTGATACTGGAAGTATTGAGTAGAATGATAGATAAAGTTGTTGTAGTTGATTACTTGATGAGGTTTTATCCACATCTCTTGTTCCAAGACGATACTTCAGTTTTCTGTTAGGCGAATATTAACCAGCAAGATTATCTTATACAGGTACCTATATGATTCTGGATAGTGTCAGACCTCAAGATCAACCTCAGAAAGTATGAGATCATTCGTGTTGATGAAGTGAACAATATTGAGAATTTAGCACCGGTGCTCAATTGCTGGGTTAGTTCTCTTCCAACTACTTATCTTGGCTTATAGACTTGGGCACTTTCAATAAGGAGCAACCAACTTGGAGCAGAGTGATTGAGAGAGTCCATGTTGCTCATACCCTTCAAAATCCCTGCAACAACCATGTCGATCCGACACGATTTGTGTGTGGATGTGGGATCCACACGGAATATGGTCAACTCACCTTTAGTGCTTTGACTACATCTATGACCAAGAAGTACAGATTGATTAGGTATTTGGTTTGACTTTTGGGTTTATGCCATATATAGAGAGATTTATATAAAGTATGAAGATACTTTATTACACAAGATAGCTTATGAATAAAATATTATGTGTTTATAAAAAAACAAATTTTATTAGTTTTAGTTCAATAACATTAATTACTCAAAAAATACTTATAGATGTCATAATATATATTTATTGGTTGTATCCCAGCAACTCGTATCCGCACCCAGATCCATACTACCAAATCTTAAAATTTATGTGATGAGGAATCCGATCTCTATATCCGCACCCAAGTCTCAGCATCATAGGAGAGAGTTGACAAGAGGCTAGCAGGCTGGCAAAAAAGGTACATGGCCTGACAGAGTGTTGATTAAGAGCACTCTATCAAGCATCCTGACATGCTTAATGTCATTGTTTCACGCACTGCCAGTCTCACAGGTAAATGAAAAGGCTCAAAAAGAACTTTCTATGGGATTTACTAAATGGAGATAAGATGTTCCATTTAGTCAACTGGTCATTAGATCTCCAAAGAAATTGGAGGCAATGATGGAGGGAGGGTCTCGGGGTGAAAGATATCAAATTTCAACAAGGCTTTATTAGGGAATTTCCTATGAAGTCGAGATTGAAGAGTATGTATTATACAGGGAGATGATAGCAGAAAAGTATAGAATTGTTGATTGGGTGGGGGGGGGGGGGTTCCTTTTGGGGTGCAGCTTTTGAAGGATTATATTGAAACAATTGTTAGAAATCATCGGTAACATAACCTTCAAAACACAGGCATGGAAATAGAATCATCTTTCATTGTCATAGGTGGCATGGGGAAGAGACGACCTCAGACTCACTCACGTTCCCGAATATTTATAGCATCTGAAACCATAAAGAAATGACAGTACAACAGATTGACAAGAGATAAGAAAGGGGGGAGTTCATTGGGACATGAGGAGTTGGGAAGAACCTTCAGGGCTGGGAAGTAGCAAAATTTCCAGGCCTGGTTGAAATGCTTTACAAGCAGTGTACATCCCTAGTAGTCAGGATTTATGCAGGTAGGGAGTGGGAAGAAATAGATTGTTTTCAGTAAAGTCATATTATTATAAAGTCTTGGTGAGGGAAGAGTAGGATTTTCCACACTTATCAACTTGGATTCCGAAGGCACCAGGACATGCGTGTTTTTTCACTTGGTTGGTACAAGAGGAGCAATATTGACTGATGAGAACTTAAAGGAAAACACAGATACATATTTCAACTGGTGTTTCATTTCCAAATGCTTAGGTGACAATGTGGACCACCTCTTCCTACTTTTATCTAGTGGTAACTCACTTGTGATGTGAGATATTGAAACGGTTCGGATGCAATCGGCAATGGCAAGTACTCTCCAGCTGAAAATTTAAGAGAAGAGAAGTAGGATGCTACCTCACTATCACTCATTCCTAGTTTCTTGTAGGTGCTCATAAAATACTAGTTCGAATAGAAGATAGGCTGCCGTTTGTAGAGAATCATTTTATGCTATAGATTCTCTACTTTTTGGATTGCTTGTACACAAGAGATGTTCTCCATAGTAATAATATTATTTACCTTATGAAAAATAAATTATGTAAGCTTGTTTCTTTTTTATTTATTTTTTTACAATACAAACCTGTGAGCTCTTTTCTAGTTGTTAGAATAGGAATAGGTTTATACAATCCTATAAGAATAGGAATAGGTTTATACAATCCTATTAGAATAGGAATAGGAATACTAAATAGTATCCTACTTGGTAAAGGATTGTATTCTAGGGTCTATAAATAGGGCCTCAATGTAATAATGTAGATATAACAACAATTCAATAATATTCTTTTCCTATATTTCTCACATGGTATCAGAACCTCTACGAATTTGGTAAAGAATTAAAGAGCTTCCGCTGCCGGCGGGTGGCACCCATATATGCTACCCGTCTGGCCAATGATTATGTTAGCAAAAGTTGGGTCACCATGCATCATTCTAGTGACTACTTTCTTATATCTAATTTGTGTAGCACCGTGCCATCATTCCGGTGACTGCTTTTTCATATTTAATTTGTGTAGCACCGTGCCATCATTCTGGTGACTACTTTTTCATATCTAGTTTGTGTAGCACCGTGCCATCATTCCAGTGACTCCTTTTTCATATATAATTTGTGTAGAACCGTGCCATCCTTCCGGTGACTACCTTTTTTTGCATATCTGATTTGCGTAGCACCGTGCATCTCTCCGGACTACTTTTCATATTTAATTTGTGTAGTACCGTGGATTTTTCCAAACTATTTCTCATATCTGAGTAGCATAGCATCATGTGTCTTTTCAGTGACTCCTCAGATTTGATTTGCATAGTTCCATTCGTCTTTCCGGTGACTCCTTAAATCTGATTAGCATAGAGTTGTGCCATCATTCCAACCCTACCCGTATAATTTTTCTTTTTCAGTAGGGTCGTGCCATCATTCCGACCCTATCCATATTATTTTTCTTTTTCAGTAGGGTCGTGCCATCATTCCGACCCTACCCATATTATTTCTCTTTTTCAATGGGGTCGTTCCATCAATTCGAACTATCCTATATAATTTCTATTTTCTAGTTGGGTCGTGACATCATTCCGACCCTACCCATATAATTTTATTTCTTAGATTGTGACCACTTTTACCCATCAAATCTAATACTCCGGCATCTGAGCATGTTTCGGGCAGTTTTTCGGTGACTTGTTTAATATCGACTGTCTATTGATTCCAACATGAACCATGTACTTTATACTAGATTTTGAGCACTTACAATGTTCGCTGCATTGTGAAGAAGTCTATATGGAGCAACCACCTAATTTTGTTGCTCAGGGGGAGTTTAGTAGCCTTGTATGTTGATTACGTAAGTCACTCTATGGTCTGAAACAGTCTTTGCAAGCTTGGTTTGGGAAGTTCCAACACTGTAATTTTATCACTCTGTGTTTTATCGGCATTATGCATCAAATTCAGTATTTCATGAGAAGATCAAGCACATTGAAATTTATTGTCAATTTTGTGAAGTTGAGTGATCAACTCGCAAATGTCTCACCAAGCCCCTCATCGGTCCTCGTGTTAATTACATTTGTAACAAGCTAGGTACATGAATTGTATGCACTAGTTTGAGGGGGAGTGTTAGAATATGAATAGGTTTATACAATCCTATTAGAATAGGAATAGGTTTATACAATCCTATAAGAATAAGAATAGGTTTATACAATCCTATTAGAATAGGAATAGGAATAGAAATAGGAATACTAAATAGTATCCTACTTGGTAAAGGATTGTATTCTAGGGCCTATAAATAGGGTCTCAATATAATAATGTAGACACAACAACAATTCAATAATATTATTTTCCTATATTTCTCACACAATTATTATGAAGCAAAGTGATTACTATGCTACCACAAAAGTTCTTTACCATTTCTGTTGTCCTTTTTTAATGTTTTTGCTCATATCCCTGGTGCGAAATTTCTTCACGTGGTGGCTTTTAAATGATAGAAAATAAAGAACACAGAGAGCATGACAGGAAAGACCAACTTTATATACTAAGTAGTCACCTTTAATTGAGCTCCCTGATAAATAATCCTCCTTCGATTTGAAATTATCTGGAAGTGCCAGAATAGAAGTGTGCAAGGATTGAACTGCCATAAGAAACGATCATTCAGTTAGTAACCTTAAATCCAGAATGTCAAATACAAAGTTGGAAAGAGATGACTGGATAATTAACTCAAACATGCATCGGAAGGAAACTAAATAAGAAAATCACCAACTGAACATTCCAAAACATCCTCATTTACATTTACATTTACATGCATATAGGTTAAGACCCAAAAACTCCAGGGTTTGGAGTTTTTTCCATTTACTTCATGCTCGTGAAATTGACTTTAACATTAGATGGGGAAAAAGTGAAATAGACCACTTTTCAAAAAGAAAACTGAGGATCTCCTTTTCTTCCAAATTTTCTTTATAGAGAAATCTTGGTAGCATCATCCCTGAATTTTCGCTGGACATACAAGAAACACTACAGTGATCTGCACAGAATATCATCTGTTACCACTTAATTTTTTCATGTATTGAATTATTTGGAAGTGGAATGAAATGGACCTAAATAGAGTTGAATTGGATATAGAAGATTCATATAGGCAACCAGATTCAATATAGCTGATTGAATGATGTAGAAAAAAAATAGGAACTTCAAAACTCAAATAGTAAGAGAGTTAAAACACACCAGCTGAAGTTGCAGATAATAAGCACATTTATTTTCCTCAAGAACCATAATTATTTCCTTTTTTCTTATAAGTAAGTTTCATAGAATCATATCTACCTCTAATTACGTGATGTGTGATTCATTATCACCTTTTGCCCTTCAAAAAAAAACGTTATGAAAAAAAGATCCCTTACCTTAATCTTAATATTCAGTTGCACACTTCCTATCAGACACATTTGCATGTAATTGTACTACTATTTTTTTTGTTCAAATGTCAAATTTCCTCAATAAATACACCACAAATCTGGGTATCCTGAGCATATGATAAATATGATAATAAGCCACTCTTTAACTGATCAATAATATCATTTTGTTAACATTGTGTCACCATAAAACAATTAACAATCAGAACACTTATTCAAATTTCAAGAGACCAATATTAATCTGCCATATAGAAACAAGAAACATTTCTTTTATAGAATGAAACATCAAAATTTCACCTTGTTCACTGAAAACCTCATCCCCACACAAGCTATCATCGAGTGGATGCCCTTGTGAGAGGCCCATTCTTGACTTTCTAAGATATTCTGAAGATCGATTATAAGGATCACGTCCATCTTCTGTGTCATCATCTCCTTCAGAGGTAGTTGCAGAAATCAGGTCAACTAAGTTATCTGTGCCACGATTTTTCTTCCCAAATTTCAATAACCGTTTAAATCCTCCAGATGTATCCTTGCGCGATTGACTTTGAGCAGAATTCGCCACAAACATAGGTTTCTGAGCCATTCCCCATTTCTTCCTATTTCTAGATGCATCACTCTCCGTCTGACTTAGAGACTGTGAATTCCAGGACACAGGACTTCCCACAGGCGAGTCCACAGATGCATCAACATCAGATATCTCTTGAGCATAAGAAAAAGGGTGATGAGCATGTAAATTCCATGAGACGTGACTTTCTCCCCCAGAATCTTGTACGGCTCCACCAGAAAGAAAGTCAGAAGGCAATACAGCTTCCAGAGCAGAGTCCACCTGAGAAAATGACCTCAAAACATCACCACTTTCTGATCCAGAGGTCACCATCTTCTCTGAATCATGGCTCAGTCTTGGCTCCCCATTATCAAAGTATGACCGAAGTTCAGCTGTCATGTTCTCAAATTCTTCCTCTTCCTTATCCTGGAGCCTATCTGCTGTATCTTTAGGCTCAAGGACCATGTCATCATATTCGTTATCATTGTCCTGAACCTTAGATATGACAGGCGACCCTTTCTTAGTCAGACCAGCTCTAGTGCTGAAGACAGGGTCTTTACCCTTTATTAAGAAAGTCTGCGAGTCTGATTTTTTTAGAAATTTATCATTGAGACTTTGCTCCATCTGAAACCTGAGTGGTGCCACAACACCATCTGAATTCAACGGAGATGCTTCCCTAAATTCTCCCACATTGGCAGAGCTTTGCCTCAAGGATTGTGATCTCCATGATTTGTCCTCCTTGACAAGAGATACCCCTTCTCTGGAGCTTTTATCACGGGTATAGTTTCTAGACTGTGAACGAGTTGTTTTACCAACTGCAGAAGAAGACTTGGTGTTTTCCTTTCTGATGTCAGAGAAGTTTGGGACAGACTGAGCAAGAGGATTGTCAGATGGAAACCTTCGTCTACCTGAAGAACTACTAGAAACTTTCTTGCCAGACCTTGGAACAGGTACTAGTGAAGTGCGAGGTGTGGACGAAGAAAAACTTTTGACAGGTAATTGTTTCTTGTTCTGAGTGTTTTTAGAACCATCTTCCCCAACAAATGTTTCATCAAAATACCTGTCTTCACCATATTTTTTCTGCTTTGGAAATTCAGAAATACCTTCTTCTTCATCACTTTGCTCAAAAACTAATTGTTGCTGTCAAAGGAAACTTCTTCAAGGTTGGTTACACATAACAGAAAAACAACCAATCAACTCTAAGAACAAGAAGCAGTAATATGCACGTGTGTGTAGGTATTGCTTAATTTAATGATAGAACAGAATTAAAATACCTGGTCTCTCTTCAAAATGGACCTAGAATTAAATGATTGAAGTCTCTCAGCACGTTGACGAGCACCAGAAACAGCACTGCCCTTGTCAATGGATCCTGCAAATGTGGCCTTCATATCAGCTCTACTCCTCTCTAGGCTATCCTCCAATGCCTTCAGTTTGGCTTCCTTCTCAACCCTCTTAGAATTCCATTCTGCCCTAAGTTTTGCATCCCGTTTCTGCATATATCTCTCATAGAATTTTCCTCGGGAGCAATCTGAAAAGCTTAGCTCAGAGGAAGTCCTATTTAAAAAATCTCCAAAGGTCTGATTGTTAGCCTCTTTAGTCGGTGGAGTAACAGCAGATCTCTCTATATCATTGGAACTTGTGGAAGGTTCTCTCAACATGTAATTGTCAGATAATTGAGCAAGAGAATTATCTACAACAGGCTTCTTGTTGGAAGAAGTTGCAACTTGCCATCCTTGCATGTCGTTGGCCTTGCTCTTCCTGGTAGAATTAGATTGGTCTTCAGGGGCACGTAGTTTGTGGTCAGCAAAAAGCCTTTCAAGCTCATTAGCTTTCATTTTCAACTCATCATTCAACTCCTGGTTTCCTTTTGACTGCCTTACCCTCTGAACTTGCCCTATAGGGGGCGTCAAAAACGACTTGGGTCCCTCCTGAGCCTCCATAAACATTTTGCCGGACAACATCACTTTGCTAGTTCCAGAATTGCTTTCATGTCTGCAATCTTGTGCCTTCCTGATCTGTTCAGCAGCACCTTGTTCTTTAAGCTTCATTAGTTGGTGTCTGAAATCCTCTCCCTTTGATGCAGAAGCAATTGCTACTTTCTCAGACGGGGCCAAATCAACCTTTTCAACTTCCTCAGTTTCACCAGGTGATCGCCATCTTGATTGCAGGTAAGGAGAATTATTTTCAATGCCTTTAGCAGGAAAATATTCTGTAACTTCTACTCTTGAACTACTATCCAACTGCACAGAGTCCTCTGTAGTCCTTTGAGAGGCCTTATCTCGTTGTGAAACTGAAAGATCACTTGATCCAGGTTCCTCAGGATTCCAAATCTTGGCCTTCGCATATTCACGTTCTTGCTGAGCACCTTGTTTCTTCAGGCCAGCAGCCAGATGAACCAATTGGCCTTTACTCCCTACAAACTCATCACCCCCTTGGAACCCCTTGAAGTTTGAGTTGGGAGTGGGAGTTGAAGCAATTTGATTGCTCTTACTTCCAGGGGATGTGAGCAACTGTCCTCCAGGTTCCAGTTGATTTTTCAGACTCTTTTCCTCATCCCTTCTAATAAGTGTGATTGACCTAGCCTTTCCACTAGCTTGTTCTTTCCATCCATCACTATCAAAGATATCTGAAGTAGAATTTGATATAGACTTGGAATAATCTTCAATATTCCTACAAGAACCAGTTAATTGCTTTGCACCAGCCACCTCTTCCTTTTCATTTGTATATGCAACCCTCAAATTAGCATCTGTCTGCTCATTTAATTTGCTGCTACCAACCATAGATGGAACACTACATAAATTTGGCCTGCCAAAACTTGCTGTATCAGTCAAACCTGATGCCTTTTCCTTTGGCTTGGACTGAGAAACAGAGGCAGAAGGAGTGCATTGAGGGCTCTCAGTGTCCTTGTCACCAGTCAAATCAATGCTCATATCACTGGCACCACTCCATCTTCTCAACACCGCCTTTTCAGTGACAGGAGGGACTGAGACACCAGATGACAACCTCTGAAGCTCTACAGGTTTTCCAACCACTGGCTTGCCAGCGCTCCCAGAACTTTCCTCCTTCTGCTTGTTCTCAAACAAGCTGATGCGGTCCTGCACGCTGAACCGCCTTTTATGTCTACTATGCTCGGTCGATTCGGCTTTCTTGGATGAAGTGTCCTCTTCCTTTTCTTTCTCAGCAATGACTTCCCTTTCCTTACCCTTCTCTTCTGATTTTATGTTCGATTCTCTGCTATGTTGCAAGAGAGGTGTCAGTTGCTGACCTATCAAGGGCATATATTGGTCAAGGTGGTGTGGGTGTTGCTGTTGTTTGATAAAATAGGATTCTTGATTGGTAGAATGGGACAGAGTGGATGGCTGGACGGATATAGCAGGGTCCTCGTCAATCGACATGTCTGATCCATAAGAGCACCGAACAGCCTGATCATCTCTTGGCACCCCTTTCCACGGATTGATCAAGTCTGGCCGCCTCTCACTCAAGGATATAAATTTGTTGCACGCTTCACTGAAAGGGGAAAAAAAGAGATCCATTTATATATTTGAAATTGTAAAAAGGTAATAAATGATCTGATTCCATAACCCAAAGGGGACGGAAAGAAAATAAAGAAGCTGAAAGTATATTATCCAGTGTAAAATACAAATGTTGTGGATATCATTGCTATGTAAGCATTTCATCAAGCATATAAGCAAATTATATTTGGTCAAATGTGATGTGATGAAAATGTGTCACCAAGGCTTAAGGGTAAGTCCTACTGAGCGGCGGTTAGACCTACTTTGTTGTATAGGGCAGAGTGTTGGTCAATCAAGAATACACATGTTCAAAAGATGAAGGTAGCGGAAATGAGGATACTCAAATGGGTGTGGCATACTAGGAAAGATATGATCAGGAACGAAGCTATACATCGGAAGGTGGGAGTGGCCTCTCGGGAGGACAAAATGAGGGAAGCGAAGTTGAGATGGTTCAGACATGTGAAGACAAGGTGTACGGACACACCAGTGAAGAGGCCTGAGAGGTTGGCAATAGTGAGTGTTAGGAGAGGTAGAGTTAGGTCGAAGAAGAGTTGAGGGAGGTGATTTGGCAGGGCATGGCGCACCTCCAACTTACTGAGGACATGACCCTTGATAATAAGGTTAGAGGTCGAGGATTAGGATAGAAGGTTAGTAAGTAGCCGAGTGTTGTGTGGGAGAGAGAGGGTGCTAGTCTCCTTTCTCCTTATTAATATTATTACCATTTAATACTTGCTAATATCTTTTACATCGATTTTTTTTATGTGTTATCGATTGCTTCATTGGTTTTGTTTATTTTGCCATTTTGTTGCCGTTATTTTTTTCTTTCTAACATGTTTTGGTAATGCATCATTGTGCTGAGAATCTATTGAAAATAGTCTCTCTACCCCACAAAGGTAGGGGTGAGGTTTGCACACATCCTACCGTCTTCAGACTACTTGCGGGATTACACATTGTTCAGTACATTTGGTCAAATGTTTTGGTGAGCCAAGACTTCCAAATAGTAAAAGTTTATTGCTATTTCAGCCACTTGTCAAGAAACATTATTACATACAAGTACATGGTGGAATAGTCGAGGTGTACGCAAGTTGACCCAACACCACCATTGTCACAAAAAAAAGAGTTATTTCTTTAACTCTTGTGACAATGTCCATTGTTAACTTCAAATTGTTTATTTGTCACCCAAGGTGTTGTCAGAATGTTGATCTCTAGTTTTGCAATTACATGCTTTTCATTTGTTTTCAAAAATTCTTGTGTATAACCTTTTTATGCACCTCATCTTCGTTTATCATTCACTAAAACTGTAATTATTTAGCCTTGTGCATTTTAAAGTAGGCACGACTTTTCAAGTACAAGGCTTATGTGAGGTGTCTAAGTGAAAAGTCGTGCAAACTTTAGGGGGTTGCCGATGGATTCCGCCTAGAAAGAATGAAGTATAAATGGGATTGTGGTGCCTAAGTGTAAAGAATTAGGATATCAAGGCACAATGTGCTAGGGTAAATGGTATGATAGATGAAAATGTAAAATATGAACTTCAAATGATGACTAATATGAAACGGTGGTATGGGACTGCTAGGCAATATCCATCTACCCGGATTTGAGAGTGCATTGTCTTGGTTAATCAAACAAACTAATTTCTTCTCATCTGCCTAAGCTTTAGTGGTAGAATTACCTGGAACCTGCATTAATAGGAGAGTACAAATAATAGAATGATCAAGGTGCACACAAGTTACATCACCGCTATCAAAAGAAGAAAGTCAGACGAACTGCTAAGTCCCATTGTGGATACTTAACATGATCCAAGCCCTTTAAAACCAGGCACCACAACTTAAAACAAGTGTGTTGCTTAAATGAGAACAGAATTGGTATTACTTAGATATATTTCAGATCATCTTAAGACAACTTTGGCTTTTATGAGTTAGGAACTTGAACCAGTTCAAGGATTTATTTGTCATTGTCCCAGACAATCTGAAACCAGAATTCAGCCACACAGCTCCAAACTTTCGAATGAGTAACCAGCTAATTTAAACACAATAAGCACACCAAGAGACTGTGGACACTTACTGTGCAGATAGGCAATTGGATCAGCATGCCATCCTAGCTTAAACAACAGCAATTAGGATATTGGGGTAGATTGAACCCTAGACTAACTTCTCATGAGGACAGAAATAGGAGGAGGAAGGAAGGTTTGAAAGAAGCTAATGCACAAAAAAGGCGTAAGATATCCTTACTTCAAGCGATGGGCACCAAACTGATCTGCAAACATTTGAAGTTCTGATACTGTGTCTAGATTGAAACCAGCAGCTGCTGCACGAGAAGAAGCTGTACTTAAGTCCTGCCGTACTGCAGTAAGCCTCACATCAATAGCTCGCAATAACTCCTTCCTGTGTAAACAGGCAGTGGGGAACATGAAATAAAGCAACAAATGCTACAAGCAACCATGCATGGAAAGGCAAAAAGAGGGTATACTTTGTTGCATCAGCTGCTACTGTAACTCCAGATCCACCACTTCCTGGAAGAATTATGAAACCAATAGCAACTTCAGAGAAAACCAATAGAGAGCCACAGAACTAGCGAGTAAATACAGTAATTTCAAATAAAAGTGGTCCTGAATTTCAAACCTAATAGCCAAAATTGACAAACGTGAATAATGGAACAACAAACTTGGTACAGCATTTATTTATTTATTTTTAAACGGTAATTTGGTACAGCATTTATAACACACTCGAGTTTAAATAAAGAGAGCTTATTAAGTAATAACTAAAGAAACCAGGAACGCTTATCGAAATTAATGTTCATCAGATGTTGTAAAGGCGTTCAAGACCACCCTAAATGCCCATAAGCCAGAGGAACGTTCTTTAACCAATACAGATAGGTTATCGGGCATTCATACCTGTGCTACTAAACTGATACCCTTCTCCCTGAAATAAAGGAAAAAGAAAGTTATAATTTTACCAATTATTTAAGTGACTTGTATATAACAGTTAACAATGACAGTTCATTACCTGGGAATATATTCTTCGGGCAGCTTCAAGTTGAGACATTTCTGCATCCAAGGTATTTACAAGCTCCAAAACTTCTGGTGTGCTAACAAACCTCACAAACCTGGAATACATGTGACATCTGCGATCAATCACATCACTCTTCATTTTCCCAGTTTCTCCTGGACAAGTAGGATGGGTAATTACCTTTCTAGAGTTCCCTTTGTGAACCATGTTTCATAATTTTTACACCTTTTAACTTCAAGCTTTATAGACTGAACTGCCAATGCAACTTGTTCTTCTGCAACCTTTAAATGGGTCACAAACGGCTTTAATAATCCTGATGCCAGTTTCTCCGTATTACCATCACTGGAAACAAACAATTCACATCTGCCCAAGCAATTTACCATAATAAATGAGAGAAATCAAGAAAATTTACAAAATTTCTCCATAAGTGCAACAAATGCATAGCTATTACTCACCGAGAGCGTTTTGGTGACAGCTGGAAAACCGCATAATCAAGCAGCATACTGGATTCCATATTCCCCCTCCCCTCCTTGACTAAGATAGTAGAATCTTCAGACTGGCTTCTTTCATATACACCCTCAATGCCTCTTAAATTTCAGGAAAAATCAAGAATAAGTGTGAGCAACACCTAGAATCCCAAATATATATACAGAAGAACAGCAACTTTGTGAGTTTAAATAAGCTTGAGAGACAGAGTGAGTATTGGATGGTTTCATAAGCAAACAAAAAAGGAAATATATATATCTCATGATGAATAAAGAGAATGAATAATTTCAAAATATAATCTTTTACAAGATGATAGATCTTACTTCGAAAATAGGTGATTATAAGCAGAATGTGCGTGACGAGTAGAATTGACATGGACGAGTAGAATTTTATTAAAGCAAGAGTTGATATGGCATACTATTAATGTGAAATTCATTCAGATCAGGTTATACAGCAATCAATCAGCTATGCCTAAATCCCAAACTAGTAGCACTTGGCTAGATATAAATCGTCAGTATCAATTATCAAATGCCAAATTTGGTTATAGGAAAAAACAAATTTCAAATGAAAAACGCAATGTGAAATTCCGTACAAATATAACAAGCAGAATAAGTTAGCATTTCTCATAGAGAAGTCCTAGATAAGCAAAGTTCAAGGAGGAGGTAATTGAATTTGCAAAGTAATCAGCCTTCTTGAGCAACTGAAAAATAACTACCCATTTAATTACTAGTGGAACATACAAATACAATTAAAAAAGAAAGTGAGAGAACAGCAGAAACAAGAACTGACATTAACAATGCAAAAACGGAGATCTTCACTAACCGTGCTAGATTGTCCCTATTCAGTTCATATCTGAACCAGCATTTTGGTTTTTCTATCAGTTAGTTTCCTCCTATCAGAACCTTCAATGTCCAAGCTCCTTAGATATAGAAAACCCAACAAATTTCAAATTAGCCAAATGCAATGTGTAACAACCATATAAATAAAATAAGTATGCAATAAATTTCCAAAAGTTCACAACTTTTAGATAAGCTAAATCCAAACAACTCATCTAATAAGCACAAAAATATTGCAGCTTGTGATATGTGTGTTAGTGCACCTCACCAATATCATTATCCACCAAATTTTCAACCATGAACCACTAGCCCTCAAGCACATGAGCATCAACAACTAAAAGAACCCTAGCAATTAACAATTAATCGTAAAAAAAAGAGTAACAAAATAGTGTAAATTAGAACTAACCCTAGCAATGTGAAGGCATATATGTTCAATATGTTAGCTAGATCATTCAAATTCAATTTATTTCTGAACCAGCATTTTGTTTTTTCAGGTTCTGTGTCAGTTCCCAGACGAATGAAAATAGCTTTGTTTTTTCTTTAAGAAAACCCTAACAATGGTGAGTGAACTGCAGGTGTGTCAACAATGGTGTTCGCTTTACTCTCTCTCTCTCTAGCTTTATAGGGTGAAATTGGAGATACAGTGGAGAGAGAAGTGTTGAGTGGAAGGGAAGGGGGACAGAGTGCTGTGTATAGGACAAAATCGTAATTTTGCGACTTCTGTTTTCAAATATCACAAATTTTTTCCACGCCAACAATTTTCAAGTTTTTGTCGTGCTCAAAAGTTATACCACATGGTGTTGATTACTTGAATTGTAATACACAATTGGTAAAATGTACGTAGATTTTATTAGTATTATTTTGTATATCTCAATTTATATGATAATTTTTATTTTTTAGAATCAAACAGTTTATGTTTACTGAAATTTAGCGCGTGAAATCTTCAATTTTTGGGAAATGAAATTTATATATTTATAAACTACGTAAAAATATTATAAATTACAATAATTAACAATTAAAATAATTAAAAAATTTACGATCAAAGATAGACTTATTTGAATCTCGAAATTCGAAAAGTGTCACATAAATTGAGACGAAGGGAGTACTATTTTTTCTTTTACCTCTCCATATACTATTCAAATTAAATTTCAATTCTTTTCTACTCGATCATAAAATGGGTTTGGGTCGTATCTAAAAAAAAGAGGGATTAAATTTATATGTTTTGTTGGATTAGGTCTTGAGAAATGAAAAATGGGTGAGATAGATGATTTTTTAAAGTCATGTCAAAAGCTTTATAATTAAAATTTTAGTTTTAAAATTTATTTTTTTAATTAAGTCTGTTAACCGAAGGATAAATATACCTCATTTATGGTAAGACAAGAGTATATATATACATTATTTGTTGAACGACGAAAAATATATGTGCATCATTTCTCTAACAAGAAATATATCCGCTCTAATGCACCCCAACCTTTTTTCTTTAAAAGAGTGAAAATGCTTTTTTTTCAAAAAAATCACAAGAACAAAATTGAAAACACAAATAATATAGAAAAAAATGGCACAAAATTAAGAAAAGTTTGTGCTAAATAGCTAATGGTTAAATAAGAGTTGATGACCTTGCCATGTTTAAACTTTCTGAGATATTTTTATAAGTTATTTTAATTAAACATGAAATAAGGTTTTTTTTTGTTTTGCATTTGGTGTTCAGTCTCAGTATTGGAGTCCGACTAGTTCAAATTCGTGTAAGATAAAGCCCCATTCGGAAGGTAACGCTCCTTACAAAAAAAAAAAAATCCATATTCATGGCCCAAACCCGAGATATTTGATTAAAGGAGAAGTAGTCTCATCCACTATACCACATCCTTTGATGGTAAGTTTTTTTTTTTTAATTCATACTATTAAAATATAATCCTACGCAACAAAAATTAATTTTTGTGTAATCATTTTTAAGACTATAAAATATATAAAACTTAGCTTATACTTAGAAAAATCAAAGCCAGAACCCAATATAAGTTTTTTTATGGAGTTGATGCATATATAGACTATAGTAACTCTTTAGGTCAATTTTAATTTTCTGGATATATTTTATATTATAACATAAAAGGGAAAAGAGTTTGAAAAATAGTTCAACTTTGGCCGAAATTGTTGTTATGATATCAAACTTTATGGAGGACATTTTACCCCCTGCACTATTTAATAGTGTATTTTAAAGGTATATATGTGTCCACGTGGACACATTACTATTTATAATGATGCAATATTTATGATGTCCACGTGAACACATATATACTTTTAAAATACAGTATTAAATAGTGTAGCGGGTAAAAGGTTTCCAAAGTTCGATATTATTACAGCAAATTCGGTCAAAATTCGAATATATTTCAGACATTTTTCCCTAACATAAAATAAATTAAAGTATGGCACATTTTTTTGGATATGTAGTCCCTTTCATTGCCACACTTGGAATGTAAAACAAATGAAGAATTGTTGTCACATGATGGGCATGTGTAGGTTTTGTGTCGTGAGGTTTTTCTTATGGAAACATAGTTGGCCACACTTGAACATTTATAACTCATCATTCTTCGAAGTAGATTCACAATTTAATTATTATTTATAACGATTTTAAGTTAATAAAATAATTAAATTTATTTACGTACAAATATTTTAATACAAGTATAGATAGAATTTGAATAAAAATTGAAAATGGTAGTCTTTTTTCTCTTTCTTTATACATATAAACTATTAATTTATAAAAGTTGCCTTTTTCCTCTTTCTTTTTGTATTTTTTCATATTTTTAACACGTGGTCATCTGTATTTGGTGTGAAGATTATTTTCTTACTCAAAACTAGGATTGATCGGAAAAAAATATACTTGTACCGGTTTAAAATTGTTTGTGGGGTCTAAGTTAAAATGTTTTTTTTTTAAATAAGGTTATAAATTGGAGGAGGTAATTATATTATCGGCCAAATACATACACAATTCCTTTTAACTTGCCACTAAATTTTATTTTGGCTCTTCAACGGAATTTTGTATCGTTTTAACCTCTTAACTCTATTTCCTATGGACCATTTAAATACAAAGAATTTACCTAGCATAAGTATTCAACGCTTGTTAGACAAGCATTAAAAGGTAAAAAAAATATCCAATTAAATAACGATACGTATTTTATTTTCTCCAAGTCATTTGGATTTACTTTACATTAATTGTATCAATTTATCATTTTTAAGCAATATAAGAATATATATATAGGCTTAAGTCATCGACGGCCACTTAAAGTTGTCTGCATAATTCACTTGAACACCTCCACCACTTTGAATTGATACCTCTTCGACATTTTTTTGACAATCAAACAAAAATGTGAAGTGTGTGAAATACACTCGCGATGACATGGCACAACGACGAATTAAATTGTGACATATGTCATTTGGATTCAAAAATATAAAAATATATTATAAGAAAATATTTTAAAGTAAAAAGTTGTCCGCATAATTCACTTGAACACCTCAACTAAGATAACAAAGACGTTATTGGTGATGGTGGAATGATAGTAGGAAGGAAAAATGAAGGAGAATATAGAAAGGGTGTGTGGCAGGGAAAGGTGGCAAAACGATTTAGCTGGTGACTGGTGAGGAGGAAATGCAGTAAGGTGGTTTGGAATTGAGGAAGAAGACATGTTTTAGGGATTTTTTTTTTTAATATTGAAATGTTTGCTTTACTTTTTGAGTGTTGACGTGTTATTTTGTGATTGGTTTGTAAGTAATTTTTTTTTGTTTCACGCGCTTCTCAGAGGTGTATTACACCTATGATGCCATATCATCAAAACGTATTCAATAGGTACATGTTTTGAACAAGACAGGTGTTCAATAGGTACAACTCTTAATTGAGGTGTCTAAGTGAAATATGCGGACAACTTTAGGTGTCCATGAATGACTTAAGCCATATATATATATATATTAAATAACTATATTCAATTAATTATAAAATTATTATTGAGATAGAATAGTGATACAAGTTAATATAAATATTGAATTGGCATAATACATAAATATACCCTTTAACTTGATGTCAAATCACATTTATACCTTTCAACTTTGGGTGTGCACAAGTAGACACTTAATTAACCTTGTATAAACCTGAACAAATAGACACACATATCTTACATGACATCCTACATGTCATTTTTTGTCCTACGTGGTGTCCTACGTGTATTGTGTCACATAGGACTCATGTGTCTACTTGTTCAAGTTTATACAAGTTTAAGTGTACGTCTACTTGTGCATACCCAAAGTTAAAGGACATAAATGTGAAATGAGATCAAGTTAAAGGGCACATTTATGTCAATCCTTTTCAATCTATGTATCATCAACAAAATATATGTCATCATTCCAAAAATTATAATTCTAAATTTTGATATGATATAATTCTACTCAATCTAGCTATTTACATATTATTTTAACATTTAATGTAGAATACAACTGATATTTTAAATTTTATATAGATGAAATGAAATATATAAAATAAAAAAAATTATCTTAAGAATATTTTTCATTAAGAGGGTTCAAAATCTGAAAAAGGTAAAACACACTAACTAGCTAAAGGGAATTCTGCATTTACAATAATACTTATAATTTTCATCAAAATGAATTGAGATGAACCCCTAACTATAAATTGACTCCGCCACTAATTATATATATGGCATATATTATCTAGAAGTTATTGAGTTCACATACGCATGCATAACTTATAGGCTAGGTCCGCCCTATCAAAGCATGCACATGCGTGTCGTTGATTTTATGTTGTGAAATGAAACCTTTAGTAGGCATATGGAGATACCTTATAGATTCATGATCCTAAGAACTTGGTTTGGTCACGTGAGATAAAATTATGATTTCAAATTATATGAAATGAAGTTAAGATTTTTTTTGTGCATAAAATTTGAATTTTTAAGTTGAATTTTTAAATTGTATTTTTACTCATATATAAAGAACTTAATTAATAAGTTGTGAAACTATCAAAATTACTTTATTTCTTTATACAATCTTACCAAATAAGCAAAAGTTCATAA